TTTGTTGGTATGTTTTTGGATTTGAAGGAGAAAACTAATGCAATATGATTCAAATCGAGACCGAAGTTCGTTTTTTAGGTACAAATTGTGTTGCTCACGATATTAAATAATTATGAGATTCGACACCTTGTTTATGTTGTATATGTAACCTCAAGGCTGTTATATGAAAATCATACTTTTTCAACCTTTAAACTGAAAAATATCATGGTTTGCAAAATAAGATAAACAAAAGTTTGACAGACAATTCAAAACAGTGTAACAGTGTATATGACCAGTTAACCTTCCTTTATGAATGATTAATTGGCTTTGCCAAATATTTGGGAGTTCTTCAATCTTTTCTTTTTCTACTTATGGTTGGCTATCTCATTTCTACAAATACTCTTTTTGTTATTTGGGCTTCTGGTGAGTTACAAGCACAGTTCGTAACGATAAATCTTCGATGGTTCCACCATTTATGATTCAGTTAGATATTTTAGAACATAAATATGCGTTTCAGTTAAAACAAATATGCCAACTAGACCTCATAAAAAAACTGCATTATGTTTAACTTAGTTAATTATTGATTTTGATTTCAACTTCAAGTCTCTAAATCCTGGTACTGGTTTTTCTAGAAACCAATGTAGACATAATCACATTGCAGCACTTATCATTTTAATTAAGAGANCCCTTTTTTTTTGGACTCGGTTTCTTTTTCACTCACTTTTCATATGAATGTGGACTTCATCACTATTTGGCAACTTGTTCGGGTCTACATTTTTTGCTTTTCTCTATTTCTTTTTTCATTTGTTTTTTTCTTACGTGTTCCATTTAACAAAGCAATAAAAGCATTCATATTGAATAAAAGTAAGTCGTGAATGTAGAGATCCTGTTTAAAAGTCGAGGACATTTTTCTTTGTTTGCTCGGATATATATTGTTTCTCTTTATATGTTGAATGTTAAAAGATTGGAAACACAACCCTGACTGCTTTTTAGTTGATCTAAAATTTATCTTTTCAAATGACTAATTATATTCGGCAAAAAAAATCATTGTTATGCACAAATTGTTACACATGCTCTCGGCCGACCCTTTAAGTAAAAGAATATGTCACTCGCAATAAAGATTGCCCATATCAGTTTAGGCCCAAATTATAAATGGACAAGCCCAAGAATCTGTTGGATCACTATGTGTCGATTTGAACCGTTCCCTCGTGACTTGTCCATAACATTTAATAAGAGGAATAAATTAAATAGAAGGGACTTTATTTTCAATCCAAGTTTATATAGCTTATATCTACATCTATTTTAATTTTTAACAGATCCAACAAAAATGAAATCAACTTTATTTTTTAAATAGAAATGAATAATCAATTAATAAAAACGTACAGTCGTACTGACTTTACAACAAAATGTAGATTTCATTTCGTTGACTATTTCATGGCATTGCGGTCAACTTACCTCGCATTTGGAAGCCAATTTGGAAAATACTTGGCGCCGCCAACTATCTGACTGTTATGTGGTAATAGTCTAATAGACCAACTGTAAATTGGTAGCTATTAAATTGACATATTAGTTGATAGTTGCTAATTAATAAGCTACTTATGCAATACATGGTTTTTTATTTATCATAAATTCTTGTTCGAGGCAACCTCATTGTTAGGCGGGTCGGCCTGATATAGGATTAGAACAAAAATGTACACTTGTACTCTCAAGTGTCTTCTATTTATTCTGATTTTTAAACCATGTCATTTTCTAATGAAAATATGGTCATTTGTTAAAAAAAAATAAATAAATAAAATAAAATAAAATAAAATAAAGATTTATTCAAACGCATAGGGATGAAGTTTCATTAGTCGACGCTTGCTCTTAGCTAGTTGTGAAATTGGATCGATCATACGATGGGAGTTGTGATATACCCAAATTTTTTGACATAAGTTATTGTCTGCTTAGTTGGAGTTGTTAAACGAATCGAGTCGTCCGTAGGCTCGACTTGGATATAGTTTGGCTCGGATCATTTGATCGCATGAGTTTGCTTAAAGGCTTGTTCAGTTGACAAGGTCGAGCTCAGATTGATTCGTTGAGATTCTTTAGGCTCGAGAAATAAGAAATTTTTATGTAATTTTCTAAATCATTACTTTAGCTTAGCTTGTTAAGGCTTAAGTTTTGGCACGTTAATTTTGATAAACGAGCCAAATTAGGGTCTACAGCTCTAGTGTTTGCAAACGGTAGACAATATAAAGAGTGTAATGTAAAGGGAAATTTGCAAGCATACCGCACGAAATTGAAGTAATTTAGAATTTACTATTCACAAACAAATAATTATGTATATACTTAATAGACAAACAATAATTAAATTATTGCCTAAAAATCAGTTACCCATCGTAACATCCTCCATTCCATATCTTCTCAGCATGATTTTCGGGATATTACCAAGAAAAAAAAAAATCGGAATTTTTATCCTGCGACTATACATATATATTTAACATATACTGTACATATAACGAACATATACTGTAGATATACCACAACACAACATAAACGATAGAGGCACGATCGATCTTTTTCTTAAGAAAAGTTATGCAAATATACCACAAAAAAAAAAATGACTGGTCGATTAAAATCAAGGTATATTTTTTCCATATTAATTTATTTCTTTATGCTTTTTTTAATTGATCTTAACGTTCAATGAAACATATATGAATTTATTATCTTTTTTACGCAAAATATACCAAACATTACTCAAAATATACAGAACATATACTGATCATTACTAAAAAATATACCAAACATTACTCAAAAATATACACAACATATTTTTACTCAAAATATACCAAACATTACTCAAAATATACCAGCAGAAATTGGGGACATATACTGAACATATATCATATACTGAAAATAGTTCCAGGCGTCGAAATTAATCCACATTACTCAAGCCTCAAATTTTTTATCCATCTTCATCTGCGCGGAAAAACTCCCAATTATATCCACATCACTCAAGCCTTAATTGAACTCTCGCATAAAAAAAAATCAGAATTAACATGAACCCGTCGGAAAGAGGAAAAAGGAAAAAGGCCGCTGCTCTTTCGGGTTCCCCTCACACATACGAGCTGCTCGAAAAGAAAATCGGCGAGAGGCCGACGAGGGCCAAAAGTGCCGCTGCTCCTGTTCAAACGGTCGCTCGAGGTGCTGGCCCGACAAATGGCTGGGGTCCGTTGAAAAGGAATCGACCGCTGTTGTTCGGCCATTGAACGAAGGCCGACGGGGAGTGCTGCTGCTGAATGGGGTCTCGATGATGGTTTTTCCGGCTTCCGGCAACCGGATCGAGTAGAGAGAGGGACTTTTGTCTTCGCCATTGAAGTAGTACAGGGAAACCGATGAGATGAGATTTTTTGCGGTGAATGTGGGGCGGTGGGTGTTTTTTTGTTGGAGGGATATTATCTCCACCGTAAAATCAGCAACTTTCTTAATTATCTCAATTAATTTAAACGGTTACCCTTAGGTATACCTGCAATATTTTAGGTTGATTTTAGTACAATTATAAATATTGATATAATAGGTGTATAATTATAATATATTTAGAATCTTGAAGTAAGGGGTGTAAATTCTTCTAATTTAAGTTTGAAGTAGCCCTGAATACCCTGTTATTCTGCTGACTGTTTTCCTCTCTAGAGGAGTAATATATTAGTGATTTCAATGTTAACTGGCCCTAAATACCCTGTTGTTATGTTGATTGTTTTTCTGTTTTGGATAATTTACATATATGTAATCAAGATCAAGAACATAACTATGTAGTTTATGTGTTAAAAATACATAAGAGTAGAAACAGTTAACATATCAATATGGTCAGGTTAATCCTGGTGAATTAAAACCATATAATAATCTTATCAAGATATAATTAGGTAAATTAGTTGGTAAAGAATTTTCACAAAGTAGCTTCTTATTATGTTCTATAAAACTTAGATATAATAAATAAATTACAAATCCGTAATATTAGTAATTTTCTCTTTATTATTATTATTTTTTTATTTTTTTTGGATTATTAAGATCTTGAAACAATTTCTCTGCTGTTAGAATATTAGGTGCCGAATATTCCAGATTTTACACGAAAATCAAAAATTAAAATACGCAGCGGAAAATAATAAACACGAAAGATTCAAAATTTAGCCTGCAAGTGAAATACACTTGTAGACAAAGGCCACAGTGCCAAAATTTCACTAGAACAAACTAATCACAAAGTTTTTCATCCAATCCAAAATTATTTAGTGAATTACGAAAAAACATAAAACGCGAGTTCGACAATTATATGAAATATATCACATCAGATTGGTCGGAAAAAGTGTGTCTTTTATATATTTATTAGCGTATTTTTATATGTTTAATTTTATTTCACTTATATGTTTTTCGACTTATTTATTATGATGGATTCATTTACTTTGATTATTTTATATTTATTTTCAACTCATTAGAATATTTTCTGGACACGAAGCATTGTACCGATCAATTACTGTCGTATACCGGTCAAAGTTTAAGCCCAATCGTTAAAACATTAAACCAAAAGTGACATGAATGACTCATCAATTGGGCTGCCTATTTACGCCACTTTCAATATGAATTTGAGAGGATTTTAAATTGAGAAATCCCAGCATATTCTCTTGGAGGGCCCACTTGGGTTTTATTGAGTGACCCATCACAATTTGAGGAGAATTATGCAGCCTAGGTGGAGAATTATTGGGGAATTCCTTGCAAGCCGAAAAGGAAAAATATATA